ATATATATATATATATATATATATATATATTATATTATAGCATTAACTCTAAATAATACCTGTAGTTGTGTGGCTATTATCAATCTGTATTTTATGGATTATTTCAGGTTCGACTCATTGTGATAGACAGTGTTGCATTCCACTTCCGACATGATATTGAAAATTTATCTTTAAGGACACGACTTTTGAACGGACTAGCACAGAATCTCATTAAACTGGCAATGGAAAATACAGTTGCAGTAAGTTGTTAACTAGCTGTGGTGCAAGGATTTGTGCAATGGGGAAGGGAATGGGGAGGAACAGGATTGGGGTCAATTCCCTTAAAACAGAATAAGCCAGAGGCTTCCCAGGAACCCTTGGTGGGGTTCCAGAATTTGCAGGGACCTAGAATTCAGACGTGCACATGACTCTGTGACATCATTATGTTCAAGATGTTACCGTCGTTGCCCAATCAAAATTTCTGATGCAGGAGAGTGGTGGGGCGGGCGGCACTTTTGGCCATATTTATCTTGTTCTGGGAGGTTATAAAATTCGTTTTTCTTCATGGAATTATCTATTTGGACGAACAAGTCATAGCTGACAAGGGAGGTGGAGTGGAGTGGGGGGGGGGGGAGAGGAGGTGACTTGGCCTGTCTAATGCAAGGCTTAATACCAATGACAAAACAAAGAGTGTTTTCAGGATTGTTCATTCTTCGTAGACTTCCATTACTTTCTCATCATGATACGCTCTGTTTTCCAGATTGGTTAATTAACTTCATTAAAATGTATATATATTATTATTTTCTGTTAACTTGTGTAGAGCTTGTCTCTGTATTATATTTTATTCCTGATAATGCTTCCAATAAAAGCGAAAACATTGAATAAAATGTCCTTTCTCAGTGCACATCCAAGTGTTTATACTGTATTTTCAATTTTTTCCTATAAAAGGTGGTACTAACAAACCAAATGACTACAAAGTTTGGCAGAGAGGATGGAGGCTCTAAACTGATTCCTGCTTTGGGGGAAAGCTGGGGGCATGCTGCTACTGTTCGATTAATTCTCTATTGGCAGGGAAACCAGAGGTAATAATGTTTATCTTGGAATTTTTCCCTAAAATTATGGATGCACTGGTCAAAAACAATAATTAATATTAAATGAAAATTTATACAAAATTAAACAAAGTAACCAGCATGCTAGTCCTGATATGAGGAAACCCACTCACATGACCACTGTACAGGCAGTGGCAGTTCAAATGGGGGTGATGTTTCAGGGGACAAAAATTTTCTCCCTCGGACAAACTTGGGCCCCCGTTGCCCAATGTTATGACAAGGTCGTTTGAAATATTATGCCTATCCAAAGCACGAGTTATTGTAACTGCAATCCCTAATCCGGTCTAAAAGCACAAATTTGGGTATACTAAACCATAACATTTTATTCCACTTCTGCCCCAAGTTCTAGGTTGCCGCTAGTTTGGACCCCCTGTCAGACTTGTTGAGCCCCTGTTGGCAAATTTCTGGAGCCACCACTGTGTACAGGTGGGGGTAACATGGCTAGATAAAATGCTAACCCAACCCAAAGCTTTAGTTATTGCTAATGGGATGAGCAGCGGCGTAACTGCTGGTGGTTCTTTGAACCGGGGCCCTCAATGTCCGGGGTCCCACCCCTGTAAAGAGATAAAATAATATCATTAAATAAAACAATGCATAAGTCTGTATAATGCTGCAGGCATTCAGTATAATTTATAATGATTACAAATAATCAATTAAACATAGTTCTATGCCAATTGAGTCATTTATATAAAAACAAATCAGTGATATTTCAGAATTTTCTCCTCAAATCTTCTAAAAAATGATTGTTACAAGCAATAAAGTTGTTCTCATCCTCAGGTTAGCAATGCTCTACAAATCACCATCAAGACAAGAAATGACAGTGCCATACCAAGTGACGGTACTGTATACATTATTGGACTTGTCTGAAGACTTGCCAGACTAGTCACTCCTTGCAGATCATGTTTCTGAGATGGCAAAAACATGTTAGAATATCAGAATTTTTAAAATCTATTTTCTATCACTAAACCAACCCTTATATATCTAAACATCATGATAATGCTGTTATTCTCCCCGTTTTTGACGTTAAAAACATTTTGTAACAATTTGTTGATGGTCCTTGCCTGAGAATTCCCCCAAATCGTTAACTTTGAAGCCGATTTTTCAAAACTGTTACTTGAACAACTGTATGTTTAAAACCCTTTAACTTCAACGAAATGTCGGTTTGAAATGATTCTTTGACCATTTTATAACTTTCATTTTGCTGTTTGGAGTTACTGGTTTGGCTTGTCTTTGTCACATTTATGCATTAAAGACTGTAAAATTCTTCTTTTTTTTCCCTCCAATTAAATTTCCTGTTTATCTTACTAATGACTTTATTTCATTGCCAAATCTGGGATCAACTTTACACATAATACTGTAGCTTAAAGGCTGTTTCTATAGCAATTTTTTAAACCAATTAATTAGTTTGATATTAGTTTCCTTAGAATAGGTCTTCGTAAGCATAATATGATAAATGATTTTTTTTTTGTGGTATTGTATACTGTATATAACTTTGAAAGAAATAATTTACCAATTAAATTAATTTTCATTATTTATTTAATTGTTCATGATTTGATTAAAATCTTACCATAATGTTTTACAAAATATCACTTGCGAATTTTTTCGCTAGTATTTGGGGACGTACTGAGTATTCAGTACGATTACACGTCAGGTCAGGTAGGGCAAAACATCTCTCCCATGATAACTTCCTGACGCAAACTCATATCCGAATAAAATATTTTTAATTAAGATGTTGTCAATACTCAATGTTAATGATGCATAGTTCCGTTAGGGTGGGGTATGCGAGTCATTAGGACCTTAGTGGAGTAATGCCCCTACCCCTGTAATGCATAATTTGGTTAGGGTGGGCTATGCGGGTCGTTTGGACCTTAGGGAAGTGACGTCCCTACCCCTGAATGCATAGTCTTTGTATCTGATATTTGTTTTTTGTCTTTTGTTATTGTATTGATATGGATATGTGATTCCGAAATAAAAGTTAAATTGAATTAATGAATACTGGTGCATTTTACAAAAATTGTTTTTCAATAATCCTTAGAACTGCGGTGTGCGAAGCATTCCATCTGGCGCAGTGCAGCACGGAAGTGTAAGTACAAACATATCCAAAAGTGAAGAAGATGAAGAGAACCCACGAAAAAAGAGGAGATTGGCACAAGACACTAATTGAATGAAAGAAAATTTAACAAAAAGTTTTGTAATCATATCTTGAAATAAGAATGTTGCAGAGTATGATGATCGTTCATGTGAAGAGGCTAGTACATTGATTGATGGTACCAGCATGGGGGGGGTGGTGTCCAGGGGGCGCAGGATCTCCATCAGGGGCTCTTAGGACCCCGTAGCGGAATTACACTACTTTGAAAATAAAAACGTTTTATACAATCTGGTAGTGCCATTTCTGGGCATTTAGAGAAAAATGTGCACACATCAGCCTCAAGTGACCCCTAGTATAGTAATGAGGTTACATGCTCCATGAAGGGACTGAGATCAATATGGACCCCGTCGGTAAACTTGGACTTCTTGGTCTATCTGTAATTACTGTTAAAATAGTAATTATAGATTCACAGGGTAATGAAGATTAAAGTAAATAAAAATAGAATTGAATAATAGCTTACAATTACATACTTATGGACACCAATACCTCTTGATATATTTGGTGAGATTGCATCTGGGTGACAGCGATGGCTCCAGAAATTTGACGACAGGGGCTTCGAACCAAGGGGCTGAGTAGAGCTTCGATCTGGGTCCAGGAATAAAAGAATCGCTGGTAGGGTTCACTGGGAGAGGTTTTTATGGCTTAGTATAGCCTGAATTGTAATTTTAAAACACTTTGCAATTAAAATAATGTTATTTGGATAGGCAAATTATTCTTTGCCTCCCCGCTGGTGCCACCACTGTTTGGTGATGGATGATTCTTCCATCCAAAAACTTAAGAAACTTTGAATAATAACTGAAACTTAGATTGTTGTCTTCCAACCATTAAGTTAAATGAATTTTTTGTAGGTAATAACATATTATAATTTCCAAGCTTATATTAGTTTATTTTAAGGAGGCCTGTAACCAGATTACATTGTAAGTGTTTCCTATGAGATACATAATTTTGAAAGGAATATTTCACAAATTAATTTGCAATAATTATTTTTAATTGTTTGTAGTTTGATTAAAATCTTGCCATAAAGTTTTACAAATGTGTCTGAATGTGGATAAACTGGACAAATACATTTTATTCAGAAAAGTATTGTACTTGAATTACATTTCATATACAGTATTTTACATATATACAAATTGAATGCTTAATAACTAAATAATGATTTCAATTAGGCATGCAAATGATATTGGTTGTATATATTTAATATTAAAAAATACATTGACTATGTTGAATCAATATTCAGTCATATACTTGTATATTATAAGCTGATGATAAGATGCAAAAATCAATGCATTTACAATAAAAACATCTTAAAAATCTATTTATAATCTTAAAATATGGAACATTCAAATATCTTGGTATCATACAGATTTCACTTCTTTATTTTAGATTTGCTAGACGCCCGGCCACTTTTATCTGAAATTGTTTTTCCATTAATCGCTCCTAGCTTCTTTTGAATCGCGTCATCATTTGTTTGAATCTGTTCGTTGATTGACTGTTTCAGTTTCTCAATCTCTCCTGATAAATGATCTGTGATGATTTGCCGTAGCTCTCGCTGGGCAGGGTCTTCCTCCACAGCTGATTAATAAACAAAATGACACAAAAATGATTAGCATTATTGAATGAATTAAGTACTCGAATTAAATCTGGTATAAAAAATAATGAAAAACTGCTCTTGTCCAGACTATCAAAACAAAACATGTGACATGCCTAAATATGGTCATGATGACATCACATCATGACCATATATGGGCACACAAAGTGTACAGAGCATTAAGTTGTGTAAGCCTACCTTCACTTGGTTCCTCTTCTACCTGAATAGAAGGTTGTTGTTGCTCCTCTTCTTTGATAGTTTCTGGCTCGGTTTCTTGATTTTCTTCTTCAACTAAAATAGGAAAATTAGTACAAATAATGACACTACAATCAATGTATCAAAACACCTGCTCATTTCTAGCTACATAAAAATAAAAATTTCAACAAGAACAACAGTACTGTAATCGGAGACACTTAACAGTACAGTAGTTCAAAATTGAGGTGTTTCTTATAAAATAAAATTTTCATTTTACAATTACCATAGTTGTGATGTAAGAGAGAACCAAAAACGATTTTTCTTTTTAACATTGAGCTATTACTAACCTTCCTCTAAATTCTAGGTTACTAAATGTGAGGTAACAACCCCATTTGCAGTTGCAAGCTGTACCAACACAGAACACTGACAGTTTAAGGGGTTACTGGGGGGTGGCATGTGAATATTATAGGTTGTAAAGTGATGGCATTTGAATGTTATGAAACTATTGTTATGAAATGATTTGACTATTGTTTGTGGTATTTAGATATCCCCATAGGTAAAAAAAGAAAAGTCTTTACTTTTGGCCTTACCTTCAGCTGGTTCTGGGGTGACAGGCATCCCTGCATATGATATAGTCAAGTCCAATCTGACAAGAGGGGTGAACACATACTTGTAGAGTTTATAGTGTTTGAAATATGTACCAAGAACATAATCAGTCACCAAACGAACCTGCTCCGGGCTGAAAATATTTATACTCCATGGTGGGCGCTGAAAGAAAGAAACATGGTGTTAAAATGTTGCTAAAACACTAAAAATAAAAAAATAGTTCAAAAATAGCCCCAGATAAGCAAATTAGATTCATACCTTTACAGCATGACACAAAATTAGTTCCTTGAAGTAATCGTAACACAGCTCCAAATTATCAAATGGTGTTTCTGGAAAAATATAAAACCAAATGTAAAAACATGTCATGCATTACAAATCCTTATTTTTCCTATTACTGTACCTGTATTTATTTTACTTATTCAACTTTAAGCACTAGTTCCAAGGATATGCCAAACAGTGAACTTAACCAAAATTTAATCCCTTTACAAGACAAACATACACATGATGTCAGTCTCATTATGAGGTTTAGGGAGTGAAGTTGTTTTTGTTCATGAGAAATAATCCTGTTACCATGACAGGAAAATTAATTGCATACACAGTACTTAATTTTTCAATTAAAAATCTTTTTAGTGATTATAACTATATTCCAAATATTTACAATGAAAAGTATTTAAGACAAGACTTTTTTTTTATACATTGTTAGCGAACCCGCTGCCCGCCAATAATGATGATTTTGAATAAAAATAAAATTTTATTTTTGGCCGATCAGCGCAGCCACTGGCATAATAATGGAAATGTCAGAAAAAAATAAAAGTTTTCTTTATTTTATTACGCCTGCTGCTTGTAATCTCCAAAATTGAGATATAAATATTTATTCCTAATAATATAAATTTAAAGCATCGACCATCCAATTAATACACTGTTTACATTTAATAATCAATAACATTTTATTTTTTTTGTCTGGATGTTTTTCGCAAAACCATTTGCTAAATAAGAAATCAAAATTTTAGTTTTATTGTTTTTCTGCACTCCTCTGACGATCTTTAAAAAAGTTCATGAAACAAGATATAAAAAAATTTTTGCTTAACAAAAAAATGTAACCACACCTGTACAGACATCATGGGTTTTCTTGACGATTGAAAAGAAAGCAGAGATTTGTTCCTTGGTAAACTGGTTATCAAGAGCAAACTGGATGGCATAGTAAAATAAATCCAACAAAATTCCAGAACGGTAATTCTCCTGCCAATCGGTCAAGTCAAAAGTTTCTGCTAAAAACCTTTAAAAAAAGATAGAACTGAAATATGTTAAACAATAAAATACAATACACCTACCAGATACTACATGAACCTTATTTTCAAGCAGTGATTACAGTTTTTCACAAATGAAAAATCATTTAAATAATTTGTTAGTTTTCCAGGTGTTCATTCTTGGATTTGGGTGCTATACATGTTTCCATGACAATCCCACCAGTTTTTATCTATAGATATAGATTTTTATCTAAATACAGTATTCATAACATTTAATCCATAGATCATAAAAATCATTTTGAAATTAACTTGCTCATTTTGAAGTAACATAATCAGCTTACCATAAAAATTAGTGTATTTAAAAATGTTCTATTTTTTATTGTCAGGGAACAATACATCTTTGACTACAGCTCAAAATACGACAATATATTATTTAAACTGGGATAATTATATTCACATTAAAAAAGTAAATAACACAGAAGGATGATTTATAGCTTAGACATAAAAGACATTAATTCTATTGTTGATAATATTCCATTTAAGTAACTACCTTTGTATTTCTTCCATTGATGTACACTTCATGATTAAATCCAAGTGTGTTGTTTTAAGATCAGCCCTGAAAAAATGTTTACAAGTACTGTAAACAGGTGTTGTTTTCATAAAACTCTCTCATTATGAAAACTATAATTATTATAGGAAATTATTGAAGCAAGGACTTTTAAAGCTGTCCACACTATCAAATTCTCTTTGACAAAAAATGGTTGTATGTCTATCATTAGTCATGAGGTGCCTATATTGTCATGATGTGATGTCATCATGACCATATTTAGGCATGTCACATGTTTCTGTCACAGTCAAATACAATTGGGTAGTCTGGACAGGGCTTAAGTTGTTGATCAGTTAACAAAGTGACAAATGCTATGTGACAAAGTGACAAATGCTATGAGAATATTGTGCTGTAAATATTGTATTTACAATACAATATTTACAATACAATATTATCATATTGTACTGTAAATATTGTACTGTAAATATTGTATTTTTGTATTATGTGCACAGCCCAGTGAAGAAAAACTCTGTGTTGATCTGGGCCTCTGTGGATAAATAATGTTGATCTTGAACTTGTATTTGTATTAAGGAAGACTACAAGAAGATTTTTTTATATGTCCTTCATACTGTTATTAATTTGTAATCTGTATGCTATTGAGCATTTGAACAAGGCAAATGTAGAAGCTTTTCCTCAGCATATTTGATACAATGAATGGTAACAAAGTAGTGTGTGGCATTTTTTTTTTAAAAAAAGAAAAAAAGAACAAGCAGGAAGAAGATACTAAATAATGTTTTCACAATTACTTTTCACTGTATATTTACAACATCAGAACTACTTGATAGAAAGTGAATGTAAAATTGTATATTACCATATGCAAATTCTTGCTGTATGTACTTGCGGCTGAAAGTACAGTAAAATCAAAACAATCAAAAAAAGAAATGGCAGAGGCCTAATTATTATTATATTAATAATAATTTGTTTTCTTATATTTTATATAGTCTAGGCCTAAAGTTATTATAGGCCTAGCCCTAGTGCTTGTTTTTATGCCAAAAACAAGGTCTCTCTAAAGCGATTCACATTAATTAATACATTTGTCACTGAACTTCTTATTATCTAGTAGCATTACTAATAATAGTACTAGTACTACCTAATAGTACTAGCTAGACCTAGGCCTACTGCTACAAGGCCTAGCTAGACCCCACCTAGTAATAATGTATAGGCTACCCATCCTTGCTTCTTGCTGTTTTTGGGTGGTAAACCAACCTTTTATTGATCCTCTATTTTAATAATAAGGCGATTTATCCTAGCAAGGTAGGGCCTAGGAGACTAGGATAGGCCTAGGATTATCCTGGTCTAGGCCGCCGACCCTCAGGCCTAGGTAACTAGGCCTAGGCCATCTATAGCGAGGCCTTCCTAGGCCTACCAACATTGCCTAAGATTATGATGAGAATGAGAAGACCTGCCCCTGCGTATGATTGTAGGAGTAGGCAGTATAGGCTAGCCTCGGCTTCAAATTTCAGGCCTAAAACTGTGCCACTCTGATTTACCTGTGAAACTTTCGGTACCTCCGATGACATATTGACCTAGACTTTGCGTTTTTACCGAAGGTTTTGAAGAATACGACACCTATCCTTTAAAAACAGCAAAACAGTCAAAGGGTTCGAAAGCTGCCGTCGTTCAACAAATCCATCACACAACAACCGGAAGTTTATTGTCGCCTAGTAATTGTGGGAATTGTGGGATAATACAGGAAGCGTCCACTTAGCGGCTAAGGGGTGAACACCAATCACAAACAGAGGCCTAGTAACTGACAGTAGCGAAACGTTGACCACATAATGTTCAAATCTCGTCATTTGTTTGGAATATGCTGTCTCTCTCTCTCCCTCTCCCTCTTCCTCTCCCTCTCTCTGGGCCAATTATTCAAGCCATGAGCCTTACAACGGTGCGTCGCCAGTTTGCCCTATTATAATCATAATGCGTGAGTGTGTTTAAAGTTGTGATGTAGTCATGAAAATGTAAGAAAAAGGGTATTTGTTTTTTCGAGACATTCTGTCCCATGTAGGGCACGATTGTTATGAATTTTGGATTAAGAATTTAATAAACGATTGTAGCATTCTTGCGGAAAACTTACTGTCCCCACCACCAAGCTACAACAATACCTTCTCCCCAGACCAGCACAATATGGTTGTACACACAAAATTGCAAATTTAGTCCATCTTACGTCAAGTTCACGATCTACCACCAGCACAGTTTCTTCACACTCTAGTATATTAAAATCTTATTACAGATCATTTTCTGTCGCTGTGCCATTACTTTGGAATTCCATGCCTCTTGAAGTTCGCAATTTCCTTCTCTCAACTTTTTCAAAAACCGTCATTTGAAAACACACTTTTTTAAAATTGTTTCACTAAACAGCGCATTGAGACTTTGTTTATTCGCTATAGCAATGTGGAGGCGTACATTCCATTAAAGAAGTTCCAATTTACCTCGTAATCTTCACACAAAAGGCCACTTAAATATTTTGTGTAGAATAACATTGATTAAAATAATGATTTATCTTATTTATACTGATTAGCTCATGTTAAATTTTTGATTGTAACTATTCGACAGTCATCGGCGTAATTGTTGTTCTCTCCACTCACTTAGAAAAATGGGGTCTTAACTACAGAACAATTGTGAATAGTTGGGTGGGGGAAGTGATATGATGTCAAGCCCACTTTGAAATATTGGAGTGGGGGGGGGTGCCGTGTCCCCCACCGATCGACGCCCATGTGTTTAGGGAACACCCTCATTAAGGAGACATTTTTATATCATGAGTTAATCCTTTACTACGGCCAACCCCTATTCAGAGACACTCAATATAACACCAAGGGATAATACGAGGCATATGTTGGCCCTGTTGGATGATGACCCTTAAAAAAAGGAGGTTTACTCTGAACGTATTCATGAAGACTAAGAAAGTAAAACAACAGAGTTTAGCATATGTACAATTTATTCATGAAGTATTGGAGACACATATACAATGATCATAATCAACAATTCGATAAACGCAAAAACCGTATGCGTTTTTCACAGGATGGAATTAACTTTACGATAACGGTAGATAAATCGAATTGTACAATATTAAATTTATACGGAATTCTGTCACAGTAAAATATAATTTACTATTCTTTCATACGTTATAAAATCGATTGCATAATAATCAGATAATCTACCATTAGGCGTATCCGTTATTTTAGGAAGATTTCGCAATCTTAAGAAAACGAAAAAAAAAATACGAATACGTCAGCATTATTATTATGATCGTCATTCGTGCCTAAAACATTCTTGGAAATATGCTGTACGAACTGCATATGATCCTTGATTCATGCAAAAGGCATGAATCGCTTACTTGGTAGAACGATATGCTAATGTAGCGGGAAGGGGTGTCTAAAAATTGATGACGTAACCGTATTCGTTATCGTTCTCTTAAGCTTGCAAAAACTCCCTATTATTTAACAAAAACCGTAAAAGGAATAGCTTGCCATTAAGATTTTACTTTTTTAATGTTAATAAACCTGAATAAGTTAGCATTACATGTAGCAATGAAAGTATCGCAGACAGACAAAAACATCTACAATTAAATATACAACTTATTTATTAAGTACCCTAAGATATACGCTTGTTGCAAAATCTGGCAAACCCCTCCAAAAAGTACAACAAAGAAAATGATTTGTTCATTAAAACTTAAATTCATCGTCTTCCATATCTAAGTAATTTGGTTTGCGCTGTTATACATAATTTTTAACTACAAAAATCCTTAGTTTGTCTCAGACTTAGATCAGACAATTTTATATACACAGAATAGGAACTGTATATTTATTCGTGTGTTAATTGGTGAGAAAAAAAAATGTTTTCTTAATAATTATTATTTAATTGAATGATTAATATTAGCTCAACATAGACAGATTTTATATTGACATACGTTAATATATTTTATTAACTTCCTTTAGGTCTATGCCAATAAGAATAACACAGCCTACAATTTGAAGTGAATGGTCGTATTCGACTGATCGTTCTTCGCTAAACCACGCCCACCTGCTCGGTTTATCCATGGAGGAATAAACTAATTCCTCCATAGTTTATCAAAGTTTAATTGCCTACACTTTATCCTTAATAGCTGCTGTGACGTCCACATATCATAAAGTGGGATTTAATAATAAACCAATCAGGTCGCCTTGTCAGAAAATGGAACTTTACGCTAAGTTCTGCCCCTTGGATATTGTTGCTAAGGTCCTGGTCCCATAAAGCAACTGCGTAATCGTACGTCAACATGTGTTAAGTAAACACGGTCGGGTATTTGTGGGACAAGCGCATTAATGCTCTCCCTGTTCTAATTGGTTAAGTTTGATTGACACTCGGAAGGTCCATTGTGTATAATATATGACGTTGTATATCACATTATTTCGTCCCGTGTAAAAACAATATCCATTGTCTTCTTTAACGTTATAATGACAACTGAACAGAGCACTTATGTTAAAATATCATGAACACACAGAGGGACTCACAAATGAAATTATAAATGTTACAGGTACATATTTGACTCTAGTGGAGACCCTCCCACTTCAATCAATGTTTACAAAATGAGCTCATATTTTAGGGTTGCTGGTGTAAAAATATTACCGTAAAATCTCAAATTGAAGCCCTGGCTTTAGTATGGGCTACCGTACTTTTCGAGATAGGCTTCTTTTCGAGGCCACTTTTGCAAGGTAAAGTGGGGGGTGGAGCTTCTTTTCAAAATGAATGCTGTAAATTTTTTTAAAAAAATCTATGAAACAATATTTAGGGCCACTGTAACATCAATCTGTATCATGGAGTGTATTAACCGGCATTAACTCACCTAAACTACTGTATAAACTAATCATGATTTGATTCTTTTATTTGAAATTCATCTACAGTGTATGTAATGTACCATCTAGAAAAGAAGCATATATGCTATCTGGATTTCTTTTCAAGGCTAATTTTGCGAACTCTGAATAGGTGGGCTTTAATTCGAGATAAGCTTCTTCTCGAGATTAAGCCCAGTGGGCTTCAATTCGAGGTTTTTGCTATAATTATTTGGAATGAATTACCCATGCATGTCATTCACCATCAATATGCTCTTACAAGAAGAGTTACAACACTTTTTTCTCGAATTGCATTTTAGTTGACAAGTTAGTTCCATCATGGAGGAATTAGTAGTTTCTAAACTGATTCCTCCATGGTTCCATGTTCCAGAACTACAATGTATAACGTTGTCATGACAACCTGATAACACTGTTATAACAACCTGCTTAAAGATGCGTCACGACATGGTTCCAACATTATGGCAGTTTGTGGTAACGTAGCGATATCGAATCATGCACTTTTAATCATTATTGAAATGTAATCATTTAATAATTGGTTTAAATTAAGTGTAAAATTTAATTTAAATGACGATTTAATATTTGTATTTTACTTGATGCAAATATTCATCAACCATGTCAGTTATCATTACTGTAAAATATAATATATTATTCTTATTTAATATTTTAATGTATCATTGTTATTTATTGTATTCTCTAACATTGCTCTTCGTATAATTTTATTTAATGAAACCGTATCTGAATTACATAATTTATACTTTTGTAATTGTTCCCCTTATGATAATTTGTATTGTTGACTACGACATGACATGACAGAGAGGAGCTAAATACAGTATACATGAAATTTGTGCTTGGTTGTCTCGCCCAAATCACTGTCTAGGCGTGCCAGTACCGTCCCTGCCAAACCCCCTGTATAAATTATCAATATTGTATTAATGATGATGGCGATAGTTATTTATAAGATTATAAATCTGACCGTACCATCTTTTGTATTTTTACTCAAACGAGTGTAAAACGTGTTTGGTCGGGTTTTATCATGACGTAAAACAATAGTCAAAGTCATTGTATTGACGCAAATTATAACACTTTTTATGATATTATTTATAGCCATTAGCCTTCTAAATCCGTTTTTCTTATTGTTTGGAATCTTGCAATTCGGTATCATAATCTCCAGAACCGACCAGAATTTCTGAAAATATCATGCTTGGTAAATCAACGGATCCATAATGACTATCGATCGCAGTTGGTATTTCTGGAAACTCGTTACCGGGTGCGGGCGTTGGGAATGGATTTGGGCCACCTGGTCCACCTGGTATACCACCTACAAAAGAAATAATAATAATAATAATAATAATAATAATAATAATAATAATAATAATAATAATAATAATAATAATAATATTGACGATGATGACAACAACCCACATACAGTTGTGACATATACTATCAATCTGGCTAAAAACTTTGCCCACACTATCAAATTTGTTTTACAAAAAACAGTTGTATGCCCATATATTGCCTATACCAGTATAATCATGATGTGATGTCATCATGACCATATTTAGGCATGTGACATATTTTTGTCAAATAAAATATGATAGTCTGGACTTGGGCAATTTAGCAAGGTGTATGTCACATCAACGTACCAAGACTCTGTGTGATTATCTGCATACACGCTTTTAACTCTTTATCCATTCGAAGTATACTAAGCGTCAAGTGTCTCAGTTGTTCAGTCTGAAATTGATTAGAGAAAAAAAAGAAAACACTGAAGAAAAAAATGCGTCATCATGATAATGATAATTCAATTCAATCGATTTTGGGTGTACCAATCAAAAGCCAAATAACATAATGATTAGGCCTATCACGTATGTGTTCCATATTACTTATTTGCATGGCGTTCCATAGTATACTTTTCTCATCAAAAAAGTTTCTCAACATAAACTGACGCTGGTGGCGCTTTCCGAAATGCGCTAACTACGAAAAATCCATAAAATAGAGACTTGTGGCAAGTCTAGCTCTCGCCGACAAATCAGCAGTTTGTACGGAACAATAACTACAGTATAAAAAGTATAGACCTATAAGATAAATGGCTTACCGTTGCATAATCGTCAGATAGCACTGGTGGAGGGCCTGGTGGGCCTGGTTGGCCTGGTATACCCTGTGGTCCCATTCGACCGGGATGGCCAGGTGGACCTATAATGTAGTATTAGAGTATTAGAAACAGCTATTATCATTACTTAATAGGGTATCCCCTTAAGAAGTGTATCCCAAAGGAGGGGTTCTATACTGTATTTTATGTTAGTGGCCGCAGCATCAAGCAGCCAAATTTCATGTTGTGATAATAACAATAAGACGTATTTTATATATCATATACGGTACAGTACTAAAATGCACAAAATCACGGAATTCCATTTTAGAGTGTCAGCAACAAACGGCAGGTCTAAGGGGAATGCGATTAACTAGTTAGCAACTTTTACTTGTAAGGTCTACTAATCACGGTCGGGAGTTATCTTTTATGATTTTTTAAAATTTTGCATCAAAAACAGGAAAATCACAAAAAGATTTGGCTTTCTTAGTAAATAAAACGAAATAATTATTGTGCATAAAAAGGCAAGAGTGATTTTTTTAAATGTTAGGTTTAATTCTAACATCTAATTTGCTTCATAAAACTTTCATTTTTTAACATTGTTTATGTGATGGTAAAAACAAGAAGCCTTAGGTTTACCTTTATCTTAAAATTTACGTCAGACTAAAATATTAATCGTTTTCAAAAAGATGAACGCATATATTGATAATAAATATGTTAAACAAGATACCTTGTGGTCCTGCTGAGCCAGGAGGGCCAGGAGCTCCAACTTTTCCTTCCGGTCCAGGTTGCCCGGGCGTACCTGACTTCCCCGCAGTTCCTGGTTCTCCCTTGGAACCTTTTTTCCCATCACTGCCTGGTGGTCCTGCTTTGCCTCGGCTACCAGGTGGACCCTTTGGACCAAGGATAACTGTGCCGCCTTGAGAGGCTTGCAGTTCTGAGGTAGCTCCATATGGATTGATGGGCCGCTGTAGAGTTATAGAAAGAGCAAGACGTTATCGTTTTGAAAATAGAAAAAAAATGTCATCATTTGAAGAAATAATGGAACCATTGGTTTTAACAATCAACACGCAGACAGTACCCGGGTATATCTATAATAACATACAGTAATTTAGTCCAGATGATAGGCCACAGATTATTTCTATACCTTTCTAGTAATTGATATCAAATATAGGAATTGAAACTTATTACTGTATTCAACAAGAGGACGAAATGACTTACAGGTACGTGTTCAAGCTGCGCAACTTTCCTCTTTAATGCCTCCATCTCGGAACAATTAAAACAACCTAAAAAATTACCATTAAAACAAAGATTATTATAAATTGAACACTATACCGGTAACTGACATACGCCATGCAATATGATCCGTGGGCGATGGAGAAGACCTGAAACTATGTTTGTTGTTGAATTTTAGCAATGAAATTGCGGGAACTATATACATGTTATGAACATATGAATTTGCTAACCAATGATGAATCGATAAATGTCAAATATAACTCACTTCTGTCGCATTTTGGACCTGAAAATCCAGGACAGCACTGCCTTTCAATTGTTTCTACGGATTTGTAAGCTGTTATATATTTAGGTCGAAAAATTATCCTAGAACACAGAAAGAAATTTAGAATTATTTCATTATTACGTTAAAATTTTAACTTATGTCATTATTCAATCCATTTATTTATACGACTAAAAAATTAAATACATGTTTGTATCATGTAGCAAAAGAAGTACCGTGTAAAACAAGCCAAATGAGGCCTAAGCTACATTGGTGGTACTGTATGATACATTTCCTTGATTCAATTACATCGCTTCTTTCCTTAAGTTTTTTTTTTCAGGGTTAACATAAAGTACTATAGATGACTCATTGTGTCCTGGGTGCCACTAAACATTATTTGTTCCGTGAATAACAGGCGCTATGTAATAGGCCTGTGTGATTTTGTCGATATCGAGACTGACTGACTGACCGACCGACCGAACGAACGAACGACCAACCTACCAGTCCGACCAACCGACCAATCAACAAACCGAGCAACCAACCAACCGACTGATCGATTAATTGAAAACTTCTTTTGGAAGAGATATTTAAGTCTTTGGTCGCTACATTGGTTACCTCCATGAAATGATTGATACAATAAAGAATATGATGATGACGATGATGATCATGATGATGATGATGATGATGAAATGCGAACGCAATCTGATGTATTTGAACTCTGCTAACCTTTATGAATAGCGCCTTCATTTTCGGATGATGTTCTTAAATTTCTCTTTCTCTTGTCTTATTTATAAAGCTATTTCTTCATCGTCGATGTTGTTATTTTTATGTCTTTTGCTGTTGTGGCAGATATTGTACCGGTATGTACTAATTCTCATATCAACTTCAACCTGACCGTTCTTTTATCAAATATTTTGAAAAATTTCGTAAAATAGGTCAACACTCATACCACAGAACTTAAAAACAGATTCCAAGATTTAAATTAAATCCCATTGTCGGATAATCACAAATAAGATCAGAAAACCTTCAAATCAAACAAGAAGATTGCTCCATAGGGAAGTGAGATTTGATGTGTGTTCTCTGCACGATGCTAGTGATTCTGCTTCGGTGAGAAAACGTGGCGCGAGTAAATTCTATAGGCCTACTCACACTCTATAATTAATATCTCGTATACAATTGTTTGTGTTTTTAAAGAATCATAAATCTTTGGTTGACGTTGTGGATAAGATATTAATGAGATGTCGTCGTGAGAAGTTTGCGAACAGGGATAAACATTGTTTTTTTTTCACAAAAAAAAATGTTGGATTGTTTACCAGGTTTATTAAACAATGCATCTTTGAAAAAAGTGGGTCATAGGTCTTTTATCTTATTCCTTTTAAAAGTAATTTTGTACCACTTTAATGCAAATTAATTTGTGATGGTTTGGTGGGAGTAGGTGCAAGTAACGATAGTGGCAAAATTAGTGAGACCATGAAAATCGGTAGTAGCGAAGTTCATTTTTACTTTTTGTCACTCAAAAGTATAAATTTTGAGTGACAAGTTAAAAGCGCTTTTGACACCTCACGTCAACGATAACACTGCTTGACAAGATCTCAAAATGGTAGCACCTGGAGTATTCAGAGGCAGGAGGGCCGGAGCGCGAATTCCAGTGGTTGCAAGGGCCGCATATCTTAGGCCAGTGAATTGTTGGTTTTTCTAATAGCTCACACGGGGAGAGGGGTGTGTAGGTGACTTGCTACAACGTCCACATACCTATGATTGTTGCCCTACGTTTGTCGGCGTAAAAGTTAGTTGATTTAGGCTAGTTTGCGACGCTCGGCGGATAATGACAAAGCTAATGACCGTTGGGGACAAGTATGGTTAGGAGGGCATCGGGCAGGGCTAGCATGATAACTCTGCCATGGGCATAATAGACGTGTCAAATCTAATTACTTATCTGTCAATTCATTATTTCTATTACATATAGATTAAACGAAATATGATCTTCTAAAATGTAAACCCACTTTATCTGAAGAGGAAACTGATCGACCCACTGTTTACATACCATTACTCCTAATTGGAGATCTGAATAAAGGTGATGTTTTTGGAAGATAAATTAATACCTTCCAATGCATCGCGTCACGTACGAATGCTATCATATAGTTTTGTTATGTTTTTATTTAATTAATCAACTTTCTCAGTGTTTAAATTTTCCCTAATCTGGACCAAATACTTATTTCCCCCCTATATCAACATTTACTTAAAATACACCGCTCTGATTGGTCAACATAACATGACACTTTCTCTGGAAACTTATCCGATAGTTCACACCGGTGAAATGATTGTACACATACAGAAATAATTGTATTGTCAAGAGTTTTTAGACAACTGGGACGAAAATATTTATTCAGTTGTCAACTGCGGTACAGGCCTACTTATTAGCTATATTTATAGAAATCATTAACAAATACAATGTCCAGATTGGCTGTTCGTTAATATTAAAAGTTGTTTGCACTTTATGCAGCACAGGATTATAGGCCTATCATGTAATTCCAGAAGTTGTGTAAGGTATTTAATGATATTTTGGTTTATTTTAGTCAGCTTAATTTAATAAAAACAGAACAAAAATACAGTATTTCCTCGCAAATTAAGAAACGCATAAATAGTTCTCTTATACACATCTAGATGTGTATAAGAGACAGGGCTTGCAGTTACACTAGACAAGTGGTGAGATTGGAGGTAAGTTAATCAATTTTAAATGATTAGGTAAAATAAATCTAATGATTATCGACTATGAAACATTTCATTTGTACTTGTGTTAATTGCCAAGAAAATTATTTATTTTTTCAATTGGAAACTATAACGGGTCACAACATTTTCAAAATAGATAATGAGTAGCGCTTATTTCAGTACATAACATTAATATGCATTGAAATTTTAAAATTTAGTGGCAAAACGGGGGAGGGGACGTTCCCCCACCCGTTCCCCTACTGGAACAGCACCTGTCTTTACGTTTGATACAAAAGCATGATGACGAGCTAACATTTTGTACCCATTAATGAGTAATTGAGTGATTAATATTTAGTCATGTGGCGAGGTTAAACTCATGAACCGCTTCCTAAAAAAGTTTAAGTCATCATAATCAGCATTAAGCAGGGGTGGCGCCAGCGGGAGGGGGTCCAGGGCCCCCGTCGGGGAGAGCTCCCCCCCAACCCCGTCGGGAAGAAAAAGCATAATTCGACGGGGAGAAAAAACAATTACCTATATGTATTTTCTACATATTAGTAGACTGAAAACGATTAAATAAGTCTTTTGAAACCTCTAAAGTCAACATTTTCGGCCCCCTGGACCACTTTCGAAACATTTTACTAGAAGCTCGACCACGCCCACTTTGCTATCGTCGGGGAAATCTGACCCCCAACCCCCACCCCGTCGGGAAAATCCTGGCGCCACCCCTGGCATTAAGTCATGTCCGCCTTGCCCTATTTAATTTACGTTTATGTCAGATATTACGCTATACGTTGCGTCGTCTCGTATTTTGGCACGATTTTATGTCGAAGACGTCACACTAATGTGTCTTTCGTTTAATAATAATATTAAACGTTCTGCGTGCGTAATAGTATCCCTAATTTTAGATTTATACACACCTATATTGTGCTGGTGTACAACTTGGATTTGGTATGTTGTTGTAGCTATTTCTTTGTTGTTGGTAATTGCACCATATTGGATACCTTTCCATCGTCCTTGTAGTCCCATTCCTCACTTTACAAGTCACCATTTTTGAAATTTTTAAATCGCAAAAATTGCTTCCCCTGTATAGAAAAGAAAGAGATTTTATGAATATTGTCAAATAATGTTAAACTGCTGTTGTTTACGGTTTCAATAATAATGTTGTCAAATAGATGAGCAATATATTATTATATTAATAGCTAGCATAATTAATAAAATTTGCATTGTGAGGCCTACAGAGTTATCCCAACAAATATATAAAGAGAATTCAGTTAGTTTTAAGTCACATTTAATTCAGTTTACATTATTATTAGAAGTTTTTAATATTGCAGGGATCCCTAGTCTTCTGGAAGTCACCGGAGTCTCCCAGAAATCCGGACCGCGGCGACAATCTCCCGGAAAATATCCCATCTCCCGTAAATTCATAATAATTGCATGTCTTTACTACTTGTTATCAATTGTCTCATGGAAGTCAGTACCGATGGGCACAACCGATGAAGAATAGGCCTATAGGCTTATATATAAGACATTCAAGATATAATTACTAAGACCCCCAATAACTATCAGAAAACACAGTAGACGAGGATCGTAAAGAACCGGATAGATCAGAAAAGGGCAAAATATTGATGCATTCGACAACGGAAGCTGTGTAATTACCATGATTAAATAATGTAAGCAATAATATGTTTGATAATTTATTAAAAATATATACATTACAGTATATATCAAATTCATGTCTTCCGGTTACCATCTTGACATTCTGAACAAGATAGCATATGTATTGACGCTGGAATGAGCTGTTGTGATTATTTAGAGACAAGTACAAAGGCTCGGGGCGTCCTCTGACGTGACACGCAGCAGCTGGGCCCACAAGAATGTGCCTTTAACCAACTTTACTTTAAAAACGTGAGTAGATTTAGTTGGCAGGGTCGAAGAAGCCCAGTTAAGGGGCCTTTTGTTATTGACTGGACGTTTTGTGATAAGCAATGTATCGGTACTGTATTGTGATCAGATGGTAGAAATTACGGGCGCTTAATTGTGTCGACGTAACGTAAACGATTGACGTCACTGAAGTCACTATGGACCATGTTACGTCAGATAATGATGTAACATAATTATGTTTAAAAACAATATTATAACTAAGCTTAGATCCATGTAAGCCCACTGTATTCAATTTGGCACATATTTGTAAATAATAGGCCTATGAGAAATTGAACAAGATTAATCGCTTGGCATAAAATGTAGTAAAATTTTGCTAAAAACCAGAACGCGGAAGTATTCAATCACTCGTTGTGGCTAAGGCAAGTGTTAGTTGGCAGCACTTCAGCGCTAATTAGACCACAACTTTCAAATTAACATGCCTTTAGTGATTACTCGCTTCATTTAACCATTCACTAGTAAAACATTTAACAGCCGTTTTCATTGGATGAGTATCGACACAAAATACAATCGGCACATGTGGTTAGTGCCTTTTGTCTTTACAATAATAATTTACAAAAACATAATTATAAAACTAAGTTATATGAAAGTATTTTGTATTGAATCTGACATAATAACTCAGTTTTATTGACTTAAATGTAAACCTGGTTTAAAGGTTTCTTCTGATCGCTTTTTAAATGTTGATATAAAAGACAATTACAATAAAATACGAATAGGCCTATAGCTATACACACAGACAAGCAAATTAAAGTTCTACTAAAAGGGTTTGCAACGTTATTTAGTTGGAAATTACTGTACTACGTTAGAAAATATTTATTTTCCTACAAACTTGTTTAACACCAAACTACACGTTCTTATAAAGTTATTAATACGTAAAATTCTTGTCTTAAGTTTACTTGATTCTACTGCGTTAGCGACGGTATGCGTGATTGAACTTTATGCTGGTAAACTTTTACTCCCCTTCATTCATTTGCTACATTTATTATGTGTGAGGGTCTAAGTCACTATGACATCTATAAAAACCCAAGTACAGAATCAATCGTTTTATGCCTAGGCCTATAATAACATAATCACTTTTCAGTAGAAAATACTTGGCTCGGAATGAATGATCTGATGGGTTTATGAGTGATTACCTAACCCGACACGCACCTATAAAAAACGAAGACAAGAAACACGAGGTTTATGTCTATCCTAACAAGATCACTTCTCAGTAAATATTTGAAAATATAAGCTAGGGTCAATCATCAAATGCGGTGTAATTTTTCACGCGTTAGGGTGTAAAACGAACAGTTTATTTGAACACAGTATGTAAATCGTGTGTGGTTTTCCTTCAAGCAGCTTCAACCGGTCACTGTTATATACCACAGAGATCAACTTATAATACCCATGCGTTGACAGTATTAGCCTGAAGTGGATTAAAGGGCTTAGCCTGTATACCCCATGCTAGGTAAGCAAATGTTTTAGCATTAACTACCGTTTCACTATGGAAGCATTATAGTGGAAGTAGGACGTTTACGCCCGCATACACGTACCGGTACGTCATAGTAACGTGTGATTTGAATGGTAAGTGAGTGCGTCGGATGTAACTGATGTTAGTAGTACGCGCTAATATTACACCCCAGTTGACAGATTTTTAGGATTTTTCGATTTTAGGATGAATACGGGCTAACTTAAATTATCACAAAAACTACCACTTCAAAAACTCACGAGGCTTTTTGGTGAAATTTGTGTTTCGCATAATTTTGCCCAGGGGGAAAATGAAAAAAACATCGTTAAAATAATACACGCATATACAGATTTCCTAATATAATTCTGAGTTTTAAATTTTAAAAAAACACTAAAAAACCGGCCGCGATTGATAGAAATCCAAAGACTGTCGACAATAACATTTTTCGACAATTATCAGAATGAATCGTGAGAAAATTTATTTTAAAAAAGAATAGCTGCAGGGATAAGTAGGACGAAATGAACGTGACTGTCGCGGCAATATATCACCGAGCCTTATCCAGCAGACAATCAGGGTTTGCTGGAGGGAAAACACAAAGCTGATCTATGTCAATTGGTATGCTACACTGGTTGTATATATGATCTCTGCTGTCCTCTTTTCTGAGCATTTTTGTACGTCATAGGTAATGATCTTTGAGAGTGTCGTCATCATCATCATCATCAACTTCTTAGTGGTGTATATAGGGGGTACGCACGCCTCCCCATAAAAATACCACCTCTCCACCCCCACCCCCAATGAAAATGTTCGAAGCAAAAACTCAAAGAAACTCAAGTAGATAAAACTCTTATTTTGCGAGCTAGCGCTCCCTCACTTAATCATGGGGTTCCTACTTCATCTTATGACCTCGCCCGCATCAGCTCCCACCCCACCCCCATTTTTAAGACTCCTAGATACGCAGCTGCATCATCCTTATCATCATTCCCTTCATAATCCTCATAATCATAATCTATTGTTCAACCTGTAGGGCCTACATGACTGTATTTTTACATCCTGCTTGTATTGTACAATCACCTGATCAAGACCACTGTGTGGTCGAAACCGTGTATATTAATGAAATTTGTTAGTCTGTAAAGTGTTGTTCGTCTTCAATTGCTGTTCATCCTCACCTTTTTTTTTATTAATAAAATTATTTTCTCGAATCAAGCCAAAAATTCATAAAAGACATAGAACATCGGATTCAAATACGCCTAATTACCAATATTATTATTGAATATATAATGAAATATATGAATAAATAAGCAACGATTAATGAATTCCATTTCTACGGTACCTATCCTAGACTGGATAATGTCTGTCTAATTATATATTCACAAAAAATTAATTTCTGTTACGCGGATGATGTGTGACATTACAACTTGGTATGTACATCTCTTTCCAATGTACGCAGCTGAATGTGAATGATATGTAACTATGTTCAAGGTCAAAGGTAGTCAGATTACAGATGTATGTGCTTTGGACGTCGGATGATGTAACGAGAGCTATAATCAATATGGACAGCAAGGGAGCGCAGGTGAACGTTGGCTTACTTTGGCATCAGTCGCGAAAGCAGCCTACATAACGAGACGGGATGGTGATTCCTGTCCAGAATAGGACTTCATTTTTCCAGAATAGGGGCTGAGGATGTCCAATCGTGTGCAGAATAGGGGATGGGGGCGCTCCGCACCTTAGTAGATATTGTTGCTAGAATTCCCACAAAACAACAGCGTAAACTTGCGAAAACGCATGCGTTTGTTGGAAATCATGGTGGAAAAAGGTTGGTTACGCCCTTTCCCCCAGTTTTCAAATATCCAAAAATCTGTATCTCATTAACCGTTCCCGAGTTTTTCGTCGAACACTCTTTTTGATCTCTTAGAAAAATCAGTTTTAAAACATATCAAAAATGTGTTTTCCTTCGGAGCTAGCCTGACTTTAAGACATTAGAACTCAAGATCCTTCACCTTTCCAGCCCAATTAGTCATGGTTACAAGCAACATAGGCTTACTTATATTTTTTTTAAACGACATTAGCGCTGAATTAACACCCAAAGGATACATCATTATGATGTTCCAAATTTCATTTTGCCTAAACACTCCCACGGGGATTAAAACAACAAATAAATCTAGACTGAACTTTACGCCGGGATGTTGCATACCCCAAACTGTAGCATGACCACTGGACCCGTTAACCTAAAACAATCGTTCGTACCGACACCTTCGATGAGAAATGAAGACGATACCGTCTAGAAAATTGTGATTTATAACTAAATATCTTAAAGGATGAGACAAGGTGCTGAGTGTGTGATATATTATTGCGAGAACCTTACCCATTTGGGTACTTTATCATTGCAGTAACCCGCGGTTATGGGACTAATTGTGTGTCCCATATCGTCAAGAAAAATAGACAGAGAATTAAAAAAAATAATATCTAGCTATCAGGAACAAAATCAGACTTTGGGTGTTGTACCATTTTAATCATAACAATTAAGCCCTATATGGAGCTATTATTATTATTGGTGTTATGGGACTTGGCAGTATACATACCATCATTATTTTATATATCAATTAAATCGAACAATCAAAAAATCAATCAATCAATATTTCATTTTAATATTTATTATTAAGCTGCTCATTCAAAGGCTAGGCCTATTAGTCCTACTCT